TCCCAGCGTTGAGTTTAAGCCACTGGGTCCAGGACTCGAATTGCGATCTACTACGTGGGAGTCCAGCAACAGTCATTACGCCAACTGCTGGTCTTGAGTCTTAAGAAAACAAAGCTCTGAGCCACACCAGAAAACAAAGCCCAGTCCTGGCCCTGTCACTAACTCTCTGTGTCTAACCTTGGAGAAATAGCTGCATTTCTCTGAGCCTCATTTTCTTCATCTATGAAATAGAAGTTGGGACTACAGTCTGAAAATAGATGTTTTCAATTCAGAAATTTGGGAGAAGGAGCCAGCAGGTAGTGTGGTGGTTAGGGCACTGGACTCCCACATGGCTGTCCACAGTTCAATCCCTGGATCTGGTGGCTTGCATTCTCAATTTCCCTTTCATTCTCTCTGGTCAAATTTTTAAAATAATAATAATGAAAATAAATCATTCTATTTTTAAAAAGATAGTTTCAAAAAATGTGTGTGAGAAGCTATTTTCATCTATGTATTAGTTCTTTCTTTTTAAAAATTTATTATTAATTTGGCCAGAGAGAGACAGAGTGGGAAAGTAAGAAAGCAAGCCACCAGGTCCGGGACTTGAACTGTGGTTGGCCATGTGAGATTCCAGCACCTTCACCACCACGCCACCTTCCAGTCGCTGTATGTTAGTTCTTACTAACATTTAAGTCAAGTTGTAGGACCTCAGGCATATTGGGAATGTGTGATGAAGGGGCCTTTCACCAGAGGGAGGGTGTAGTGGGTTATTTTGTGAATAGCAGGGGGATGGCTGGTTAGCAGTGGAGTTGGGGCCCTCAGGTCCTTCCTTTTCAGATACCACAGTGTTTATATGGTCTGTAGAGCGGTATACTTCAGTTTCCTTAATAGGATATATTTCATCTCTCTTTGAGAGATGGAGATAGTACCCCCAACAGGATTCCAACACTGATCTCCCTCTAGCCCTCAGCCACCCCAGACCGTGGGCACATGTGGGCCCAGCCTACTTATAAAGTGTTGGTGGCATGAGTTATGATGCAGTTGTAAAGTTTGTGCTGACGAGTTATCCGTGGCTGTGGCTGAGGCTGAGTGACAAAAGCTCCTTGTAAAAGAGTATGTGCCAGGTTTCTGTAATAACATTTCTAGAAAAGAAATACTCTTTCTGTAATGGAGAGAAAAGTCAGACGAGATGAACACAAAACAGTAGTTGAACAGGGCTTGGAGCTGAGTGTTCCTTCATCAGACTTTGTCGTTTTTGCTATAAGGCATGTGTGCTCAATAGAGATAGAGAAGTTGAGAAATCACCCCCTGGGGGGTGGCCGTGCCGCAGTCCCTTCTCCTCTATTCTCCTCTTGGGACTTTGGGCACACACACACGTGTGTCTGGCATGATTATCAAGCAGTTGGGTCCAGGACTTGAACTGTGTAGCTGGCCATGTGGGCTCCTGCACCTTAACCTCCATACCACCTTCTGGCCCTGTCTTCAATTTTCATTTAACTTTTTTTGCAGATGCCGCTGCAAACACTCTGGATGGAGAATACGGTCAAACTTTTGGATGTGGTAGAAGTTGACAGTTCAGTCCTCGCTGGTATGTGCTTTTGAAGAACTAACATGGAAGGTGAAGTGAAAACCTATAGTCTCGTTGAAGACTATGTTTTTTTATGGGTCACATTTACTAGAAATAAGGATTCTTTTAGTTTGCTTCGCTTCAGTAATGATACTACTTTATATTTACTTGTTTTATTCTTTATAGTATCTCTTCACAGGTATTTTCTCATTTAATTATCACAGGGGCCTGGGAGGTAGGCAGAGGTGTTCCGATCCCATTTTAAGCTCTGTGACTTTCTACACTGAAATATTCAGAAAGTGCAAAATAACTTGGTTAATTTCATCTCATGAATGTCATAATGAAAATAAGTGGGCAGCCCGATAACCATCTAGGCCAGGGTACAGTGTTTCATGCCACAGGCCTGTCCCTTCAGAGGACTGTCGGTGCCCTCAGTATGAAGGATGCACGCAGTGTGAGTGGCACTGGGAGCGGGTCTGGTTCTGAGGTCACTGGCGTGCTCTAGGAATCTAGGAATGGGGCTTGTTCATGCGGGGAAGGGAGGGTTAGCTAAACTCCTAATCATCCTGCATAGCTCTGCACTGTGGGTATTTTCTGAAAATGCCAACCCAAGAGTTTTTGTTCAGCATTTTTTGTGATCACAGGGAGGCTGGGTTGTGAACTTGCAGCTTCTTGTATCTGTGAAAAGGTTTCCTTTTGGTTCATGGTGTTCAGAGTTCGATGGCACCTTCCTGAACTACAAGGTGAGGGCATCAGCAGCCGTGCCCTCTCCATAGCAGTACTTATTCCAGGCTGGTTTTAATGTTTAAGGAGTAGCATGAAGTCACATAGTCGCTTATTTTTCTATCTCATGTCTTCCCTCTACCCCCCACCCATTCTTCAGATCTAAAATTAAGAGGACCGACTGTTACTCCAGGATCAATAATATACTACAGGCAGTCACAGATACTTCTGGTTCGTTGCAAGGTACAATTTCTTTGGTTTTGAATTATTGTAATTGTTATCATGAGTCTGTAGTTTGTATCATTTATCATTTTGAGCTGGGACTTCACTTAAATGCTTTCTATTAGATTGGGCCAATATATGTTTTAATTTTCTTAAGAAATAGTAAAATATGTAGCATAATTTTTTTGAAAGTGAAGTTTTTGTCAAGGCATTGTTAATTAATCAGTGAAAGAAGATTCAGTAACTTGAGTGCTTCATTTTTTTTTTTCCTTTAGGAGAGACAAGGAGAGGGAAAG